AAAGTTATTGCATATATTTATATTACATATTGGATATGGCTTAGTTAATGTTATACTGTCATGACAATATTAACTTATTGGATCTAGGTGCTTCACTGCCTGCATGCGGCCTAAAATCCAGGCATTTGGCTTGAGTTGCCAATCTCACTGTGTGTGTGGCTTGTAGGCTGGGTAAACAAGAACACTCATGTGCTGTGTCAAGACTCCTTGCTACCCCTTTGCTATGTTATTATCTCTTTTTCTGCATAAGCATTTTTTTTTTCCATTCTCCAATGTCAATATTTGTCATTTGATGTGCTGTATCCAGATGGTAATAGACTTTTGTCTGTGCATAGACTGTATCATCTCTCTAGGCTGTCCAAGACTCAGTGCAGTAATGATAACTATAAGTAAAAAAAAAATGTTTATTTATTTTATTTCTTAAATTCAAATTTCTGTAATACAATCTGCACCACCAGTCATGATGAGCAAGAATAGGATCCTGAGCATGGAAATAGCATTCTGCCTGGAGCTGACATTCTTCCAGTCATGGCTCATGGATGGTACATTCCGCAATTGTTTACTGATAAGAATAATGTAAAAGCCTCTTTCTCAATGCCTCAATGGGTCTAATCATCCTCCAAAAGCTTGTTGTACACTTGTGGCAAGTCATCTGTCACCTCGGCCTTCAGCCAAATTTCTCATCACAATTGCCCACATGCTCATCATTTACATAAGATATGATCATAGATGTTATATCAATGCTTCATATCTGAACAAGTGGAAATGAATAGATGAATAAGTCTTACTTTTTTTTTCAAATGAACAGATAGCCTATCAAGTCAACATTGAGTCTCCATGATGATCAATGCATAAATGATGTGAAGACAGTAACATTGCATGAACTCTTAATTGTTTAATATCACAAAGGTACCTATGAGAGGATAAGCTGGAAACTGTAAATCTAAGATTTTAATCAGAACTTGATGGGAGTGCAAAGAGATTCAGGAAAGAAATGAAAGCTATGGCCGCACCAATTTGATTTGTTGCTTCTCGGATTTGCATATAAAAATGAATAGATAGATGAAAATAGATAAATAAATAAGGCCAGACCAGAAAACACTTTAGGTTTTGCTTTCACAAACCTGTAAATATTGCCACTATCAGAGGCACACCAATCAGAGAGCTACTTTGTTATCACATGCTAGAGGACAACCAATCAAGAAGTGTCTCATCTTTCAAATTAATAAGGCGACTTAGAAGGTTTGGTTGTGTGTTGGTATGTGCCACTTTGAACTCTATAACTAAATGAACTTGGTGTTTTAAACTATTAAGTTTAGAGTTTAGTCATAGTAGTTTATAGAGCATGTAAACAGTAGAGCAGATTGATGTTTTCTTTGTAAAGCTGAAAGTTTGCATGCCTTAGAAGACAATAAAGTACCAGTGGAAAGGGACCCGACACAGCAAACTTTAGTCTTCTTCTCTTTCTGCTTCGTCTTGTTCTTTTTCTTCTGCTTCTTCTTCTGCTTCTTCTGCTTCTTCTGCTTTAATGTTACTAGTTTATTAAACTTTGGAATGACCTTACAAAACAAAAATTGCAATAATAGTAGTAAATGCAACACATGTAAATTCAATAAAAACCAGTCTAGTAATAGAAACAAAGGATGGGATTAACTACATAAAGCGTGCCATGAAAAGCTGAAAACTTTAATAATCCTGTTACTCTTTATGTTCTGTGAACCCTTTATCTTCATCCCACATTACCTTTTTTTTTGCCATGTCGCTCCAATTTTTTTCTGAAAAAAGCTGTTGTTAAAATCAAGTAAATTCTTTTTGATAATTACAGCTTGTCAAATTTGGCATCGGTCAAGATTGGGTTCCAATGAAGTATGATGTATCCATTGACATGCCAGAAGTTCTGGACTTGTCTGTTTTAAGAGGGTTTGGACTGCAAGAAGGTGAAGAGGAGCTTCCAGAAACTACAGCTCCTCCACCCAAAGGTAAGAAGACAATTGTTGTGCTTTTTATTTCAGCCTCTTTTTCATCATGTGTGAGAGATGACAAGAATGCTTTTTTATTCTATTTCTCTTCATTTATTTTCCGTCCTTGTTTATTCTTATACCAACCACTGGTTCCTGGACTTCAGGAGATATGTGATGCATTGTGTAGTGAGATCTTTCAAACACTTGGAGTCCATAGGAAAATTAGACAGTTTAATCCACAAATTGGGATTTTGCCTTGCTGGGCTTTGAGCAGTCAGCTGCTCGAGTGAAGATTTTGAAGTATGGAAACTTACATTTACTGCAAACTCTTCATTTTTGGCTGCAGTATTCAAATTTTAGTATTTGGAAATTTGGCTAAAAACAGGGGGTTCATCTCAATAGCACACAACAGAAGACACACAATATCACATATTGGGGACAACATAAGTAAATTATTAAGAGAATATCATTGTAATCACTCATTTCTGTCGGCCATGTTGGTGGTTTGTTTACTATTGTGACATCATGAAACTGTAGCA